CCCCCCTGTACCTTGCCTCCCATTTTGCTCGATGCACTCGCACATCCACGCTACTCCCTGTCGGTGAATCTGCTCACCCGCTCACCCCTCCACTGCCTGCTCTCCGAAGGCCGTCCACGCCCTTTCGAGGCCTTCCTTTTCCCCTCCCTCTCCTGCTCCTCCTCCCAACCCAGCCTCAGGCTAAACCCATTCTAGCAGGTCCTCGGCGAGGATGAACTTCTTCCAAGTGAAAAAGTCTCACCAGATCGACCAATCGGTCAAGGAGTGCTTTCAAAGGCTCTTTGAGAAGGTCCAGGTTGCGGAATTCCCGCTGCGCGGCCAGCCAGGCACCTGGCGCTCGCAGATTTCCCGGCGCAGCCTCTGGGCCCCGGTCCCAGGGGTTTTGACAAACGTACGCACCACATCCTATCTCCCATGCCGCGCCTACTACACATGCACACATACCCCCATGCACATGCGCATACACGTCTTGCTCCTCGCCCCCCAGTCCCCCTCCGCTTTTGCCCCCATGGATGATGGACGGCGAGGCCCGAGGGGGCTGGTGGCCATATGCTGCCCCGGCACTCTAACCCGAACAATGGTTAATCTCCAGCTGGAACGCCTCGATGACATTGTCTTCAGCTCGCATTCGTACTTTGTCGGCCTCGTGGAGTACCTCCAGAGTGCGCACTCGTGCTTCGCCCCTTTTTCGCATTGCCCGCACTCTCTGCAGCCACCTGGCCCATCATCGCCAATCCCGCATCCCATGCTCCCCCAAGCTAATATCTGACCCTCGCCCCCCCCCCCCCCCTCCCCCTTTCCCCCTTCGCGCACATGCACGCCTCAGAACTCTCCGAGCGGGAGTCGTCATACTCCCAAAGCCACCAGCGGTCGCAGAAACTCCAGGCTGGCTGGCCGTCGGACCTGTCCAACGATGTGAACGTCTTCTTCGATGGCTTCCACTCGCAGATGACGCAGATCGCTCAAATCCATCTGCTCAAGCACCAGCACATCCAGCGCGAGGTTAACCTCATCGGCGACCTTGATGAATTGATCCAGGATGTGAGTGATCTCCGCGGCGAGCTGCCCTGGATGCTGGAATACCTGATCACCTGCCAAGAAAACTTTCTCCAAGCGCTGGACCGTCTGGACCGATCGATGCAGGCCGTCGGGCAGTGCTATTCTCGGAGCGAGTCCTCCTGCGAGCGCCATGAGAATGCCCTGAACATGAACATCCAGTACAATGCCGCACAGGAATCTCGCCTGCAGGCCGACACTCAGCTCGAGCGCGGCATCTATGAAGGCAACGTCGTCATCGACCCGCAGGCGGCCACCGGGGACCAAGTCCTGGCTGTGCGCTCGTCTGGCTCCGGCACCGGGGCGACTGAGGACCTGCAGCAGCTGAGCTCCACCCTGGCTGCCGGCAGCCCGCTCTTCCGTGAGACTCCGGAGACCAAAGTCGAGCTGTTCTTCAGTGCCAATGGGACCCCGCCCGTGGCGACGGCGGATTCCCTGGGTCGCAGTGCGTCGGGGACTCTGGCCTTCCCCCGCGCCGAGGCCAATCCGATGGTCGCCAGTGACGCGCCTCTTGCCATGCCCTCCTCGACAAACACAAGCACCATGAGCCTGCTGAGCGGCCTGCTCAATCAGAGCACCTTTGGCATGTTGGATCGCATTCGCTTTGACCGGCCGGCCGAGTTGCGTAGCTCCACCTCCTCCACAGGAAGCGCGGCCTCCATAATCTCCACCTCGGCCCTCGGGGCATCGGATGGCCTCGACACCGGGGAAATCCCGGTCGACCAGGAATTCCTGGCCGGCATGGCTCCCCAGTATATTGCGGACATCCGTGACGGCAAGCTTACCCTCGATGCGGATCCCTGGATCGCGCGCATCCTCGTCAAGAACAAGTATATCGAGCTGCAGAATGCGGAGATCCTCCTGAACAAGTTCCTCAAGAGTCTTCTCCACGAGTGGCACCGGATTCAGCTCTTCCTCACCGAGCGCCTGGTGTCCATCATTCGCATGCTGAGCATGAACTTCCTCCCGGCGCCGGCCAACTTCCACCAGATTGTGAGTTCTCCTGGACACTCCCCCCGGCCCTGCATTTCCCCCCTCCTTGCCTCCTTTGCTTCTTTCTTTTCTTTTTTTTTTTTTCTTCGTCTCCCTCCCTCTGTCTAAACACAGCCACTAACCGGGTAACATTGTCAAACGGCCAAGCCATTCAATGTGGATGAGCTTTTTGGGAATCCGCTCTTCTTCCGGACGCCCTCCTTTTCGGCCATCCCAATCCCCGACGTCAAGCAGGTCCATGTCGCTCAGTCGTCAATCGCTCACTACCGCACGTCCTCGAGCTCGAACAACAAGCGCTGTACGCCTCCATCCCCTACCACGATAAGCGTGTTGAGATTCGCATCTGCACACACCCTCCCGCGAATCAGCACCCTGACCTCCCTTCTGCCCTCCTCGCCCTCTCTCTCTCTCTCACACACACACACGCATACGTCTCTGCTCTTCTCCCTGGGGCCCATGGCTTCCCCCTTCCCCCTTCCCTCCCCTTGGACCCAGGCCGCGTGTATCTCACCCGGTATAAGAACTGCGCTTTCCTTCACATTGGGGAAGAGAGCATGCCCACCGGTGGTAACCAACTGGATCTCAGCTCGCTGCATGTATGTTTCCGGGTCCCCTCAGCTCTCGCCGTGCCGCCCCCCCCCCCCCCTCCCTCTCTCCCGATAAGCCATCACTCACACATGCATGTATTGTCACTCGGTGCTGGTAGGCCACTCTGCCCATTTTCAAGGGGAATTTCAAGATGTCCGTCAACAAGTTGACTCACGAGCTCGAGCTCTCGGTCAACGTCACGCGTCGATATGGCTTCATGAGTCTCGGCCTGACAAGCGGTGGCTCTGGACCTTTCATCAAGAGCGTGACTTTGGCAATGTCCGTCTTTCACCTGGAGACTTTCTACATCGATCTCCTGCCCTACACCACCGATCCTTGAACTGGGCACCCTCCTCTCCCCTTGCCTCCCTCCCTCCCTCGCCTCCCATCCTCTCCCTCTGTCTCCCTCTCTCCAATCCACTCATATAGATCTGTGTGTTGGACTTTGTCCTGCTGTTCGGTCTTTTCAATCTTTGTACATTGTCCTCCCTCTTCCACAGGACAGACCCCCTGAGCAGACATTTCCGGGGGAGGGGGGGGGGGAACAGTAACGGAAGGAGGAGTTGAATGTATTTTGAACAAATATTGGGGCCCCAATCTGCCTGTGTAGGTGTGTGCAAGTCAGATGATGCCCCATCCTCAAGAAAGCAGTGGAGAGGGGGGCAGGGGATGGAAGACTCTTCCAGCGCCGGCGCTGGCGGAGGAGGGGACGAGCCCAACGCTCCCCCCAACCACCAGTCGCTCGCCTAATTGATGGTCTCATAGTCCCCGTATCTCAGAGAGTGCTTGTGCCTGCGAAGGTAGAAGACCGTCAGGCAGGCGAATAGAATCAAGCCAGAATAGCAAATGGACTGGCCAATCACGAAGACATAACCCCGCAGGGCATCAATCAAACCAATTTGGGAAGACCAATCCTACATCATCCACAGGGGGGGAGGGGGGGGGGGGAGGACCCCGCGAGGGGAGAGGCGCAAGCACCGCGGTTAGAGCCGCCAAACGCAATCTTGAAGATAAATCCCCATCAATAGAGAGAGCGCGAGATAGAGAGACGAGAGGGCAGGGGTGGAGGAGAGGGACACGCACATCGGCCAGCTCTTTCGTCACGCCGGCGGTTTGTTCAATGTACATCGTCGGCAGGAAGATGTCCTTTTGCAACCCGATGTGGAAGCGGTCACGCGCGGTGGACTCATCCAGATAGTAATTCACCTGCAGGCGCTTGGCCACATTCATGGTGTTGCCAGTGAGGGGCTCCACATCGACAATTGTGGCGCAGGTGTCGAAGCTCGGGTGCATGTTGGCAACTGGGGGAAATAGGGGGGGGGGAGGAAGGGGAGGGGGAAACAAGCAGACAGCCATTAGAACAGCAAAACAAGCGAGAAAAGGTGGCGGGGTGCAAGACGGCGGGAGGGAGAGAGAGAGAGAGAGAGAGACAAGGAAAGAGGAGGATAGCCGGCTGAAACCAGGCAGAGGGCCATTGGGTGGAAATCCTGAACGCACCCTTCACCTTCTCGACGTAGGTAGAGTTGGCCAGCCACATGAGGGGCTGGGACATGTATAGCGGAACTGACGAGCCAAACACATGGCGAATACGGAAGGGAGGATCCAGATGGAAGGATCCCACGTTGACAAATCCCAGGACATCCTGATGGAAGAAGGGATCCACATCGTAGGTGGCGTTGCTCAGGGCATATC